AGAGATCAGGCTAAAAGACGCTTCCAAGAGTTGGGATTGAGTAAGGAGCAAGCTGATACTCTTATTCCTATTCGAGCTCCTGGGAGACATGTTGGGGAAAGAGACCCTATCAAAATTATTGCTCGAGATATTATAAAAAATAATCTCTCACCTGAAGAAATAAATGGAATAGCATATGACTTGGCTTCTTCTGCCCCCACTACTGTTGCGGGAAATTCTCGTCTTAATTTATTACAGAAAGAATTGCGTAGCTTAGGAGCTAACTATCTCATTACCGAAGCGACAAAAATACCCTTTATTACTGAAGAAGCAAATCGGATTCAAGCAAGGAAATGTATACTTCGTGGAATTAATGGTTACGATTGTCCCGAGTTCTTTTACCTGGAAAAAGTTCAAGAAAGACTTAACGAATGTGATACTACCAAGCCTCCTTTGATGCAAAATCTAGTAGATGTGATGGTAATGTTATGTATGCGGTCAGCAGAAGTAAAAACTCTTCGTATCAACCGATACAAACCAAGTTATGAGTCGTGGTATAATCCTGACTATTCTTTGTATTGTACTGGTTATGCAAAAAATAAAGGCAAAGTAGAAGAACCCTGGCCATTCCTCTCAATGGAAAAAAATCCAATACGAGCAAGAGAATTACTTATCTGGATTCAGAGATCAATACCAGATAAATTTCCCTTCTTGTTAAAAGATAAGGATGGAAATACTAATGTTGTACCACTTAATCAATTCTTGAGTTGTCATAGAATTACCTCATATATGTTAAGAAAAATAGGTGCCGATCATGCTTCCAGAGTACATGGAGGTAAGAATGATACTGGCCGTCAATATTTACGACAATTGGCATGTCGGCATAAGATAGGCCATGCTTCATCAGTCGAACATTATGGTGTGATAAATGATAGACCAATTATTCCAACACCTAAGCCAGCCACCCCTATTATTAAACAAAAATATGATGAAATTGAGGATATCTATGACTTATATGGGAATAATTAGATTAGTGATATAATTAGTTATTAATCGTTGGATGCGATATGTTTACTAATCAAGCTTCTTTGCTTTCACTACTTTCACAGTAAAATCTTCTTCATCATTAGACGATTCAGACCCAGATGAGGACTCAGATGCTGTATCGTTAAAAATTAGTTTTTTCCCCGTCTTCTCAAGATTTTATCTCTCGAAGCCAGATAAATTTTGTTAACATAACAATATACCTTTAACAGGATAACAATATATCTTTTTCCAAACTAGAGAGGAAAAAGGGCCTTGCATGGTGTACGATTTCTTCAAGAAATATCTGGGTTTGCTATCGAGTTTATAATTTCTTGCTGAATCTCAGGTTTTACTATTTTCATTAATTGACAAAGAGAAATCGAAATTCTTCTATGTGATATCTGTTTAACAATTTTAGATACTAATTTTGAGGTATTATTGCCAGAAGCAACTATTTCACAGCTAGTGTCCCAACATATGAGACTTCACAAATGCATTTTAATCTGATGTCGTGTATTATTATGTGATCATTAGATCTTCTCTGTTTTACGAATATATAAGATGTATCTATTGTTGTTGTATAAAAATGATTAAGCTTATTTTTTGACATCGAATTAGGGCCTGTGCGACATATGAGATGTACCAAAGTTTTTGATTAGATAAAATGCACAAATATTTAGGATTGGCAAAGGTAACAGATCATCCATAATTGCTTCATCAGTCGAACATTATGGTGTGATAAATGATAGACCAATTATTCCAACACCTAAGCCAGCCACCCCTATTATTAAACAAAAATATGATGAAATTGAGGATATCTATGACTTATATGGGAATAATTAGATTAGTGATATAATTAGTTATTAATCGTTGGATGCGATATGTTTACTAATCAAGCTTCTTTGCTTTCACTACTTTCACAGTAAAATCTTCTTCATCATTAGACGATTCAGACCCAGATGAGGACTCAGATGCTGTATCGTTAAAAATTAGTTTTTTCCCCGTCTTCTCAAGATTTTATCTCTCGAAGCCAGATAAATTTTGTTAACATAACAATATACCTTTAACAGGATAACAATATATCTTTTTCCAAACTAGAGAGGAAAAAGGGCCTTGCATGGTGTACGATTTCTTCAAGAAATATCTGGGTTTGCTATCGAGTTTATAATTTCTTGCTGAATCTCAGGTTTTACTATTTTCATTAATTGACAAAGAGAAATCGAAATTCTTCTATGTGATATCTGTTTAACAATTTTAGATACTAATTTTGAGGTATTATTGCCAGAAGCAACTATTTCACAGCTAGTGTCCCAACATGTAGAAAAACTCACAAGAGACTTGTTTTATTGATAATATAGAAATAAATTACATCAGTTCGAAGTGTGGCTAAACCAAACTCACTACACATGTAAAAAACTATTTTAAGTAGGGCTATGTAATTTAATATGCCCATTAGAACCACACCAACCACACGATATGTTACATGCCCGCTGAATGGCTTTCTTGTTAGAATCATGCTTAAAAACCCAAAGTGCTTCAATAATTTTATCAAAGGTATCCTCCGAATCAGCTAAAGGAACTGTAATATTTTTTCTTCCCTCAGTATGTTCGAGGCCAGGTTTCAGGAGATCTTCTTTATTAATAGTACATATGCTGAAGATATGTGTTAAATCAAGTTCATTTAACTTTTGTGAAATTCTTCAAGGAACAATTGGATATCACAGGAGAAGAAGTCTATTTTCTTTAGGTATATAATAAATACAATGGATATTAGAATGAGTAAATAAGATTTTATGGACATACAATAATGGTAATTACCAAATTTTTTGTTGCAGGCCGAAATTCATAAGGTACATATGACTTATCCGGAGTAATTCTCCAATTGAATCCTTGGGCAGAAGATGCCAATTTATCAGTTTTAACTGGTTGGCTAATGATTTTTTGTTGATAATCATTTAACGAACCCGGGTTCAAGTAAAATTTCACCTTCTTCAAGCAAAAAATGGTTATGCAAAAGGGTAAGGCCAAAGATACTTTTAACATGGTGGGCCACAAATAGTTGTCCTAAAGTTTTAAAGGTCTCTTCAGTGACTTGTTCATTTTTTGCTTCATTAACGTCCCAAAGATTGGGTAATTCATTGAACCTAGCTACAGTATCAAAACTTGGTTCAGTACAAATCATATTTAATTGAAAAATATTAAATTGTATAGAGAACATAATATTTGCGTGGTTTATTTATATCAAATATTTAATGTAATTTGTGTGAGAAAATTCATATTTACTTGTTTGAAACTTGTACTGAAATAAGTTAATATTATAAATAAGTCCTTTTTAGTCGATTCATGAATAGAAAAGACCAACAATATGCATTTTGCTACAATGGCGATGTTTTAGAGTATATGTATATGCAATATGACATGTTACATGAATGCTAAGGATTCAGTAAATGAGAATTGTTATTATTATTGAACTTCTTCCATAGTATAATACACATGGTTTTATGAATTTTATTGGTTGGGTAAATTTGAATATGGTGATTTGATCAAATATCCATTTTTTAAAAAGTCAAAGGGAATAAATGTTTCATAAGACGTCTCAGATATGGTTTATGATTTGATAGTACTGCCCTTTTTAAACATTTCCTTTCTATGTCATCTTCTGAATCTAAAAGACAGGTAATGCTGGTATTTACACCAAGGAATTCCTCAAAAGAAAAGATATGTACATGAGGTAATTAATCAAATTTGGTTAATCTCACAAATAAATCATGCATGCATTATCTTTCTGTGTATCAAGAATCTAAAAATAATTTTTGTTGCACAGCCCCAATTATCTGATCGATTATGCAGATAGAGTATCAAATTTGAATTTCCTCTTTACGATTAGAAAAATATGGAAAAGACACTCAACTATTACCTACCCGCATCTAAGAAAGATCCTGTAAAATATATGTATGAACTTCCTTCTAATTTTCACGAAGAAGTTACGGTCAAGGAATTTATTGGAGGTAAGTACACTCTTATATACTTGAAGAGGTTATGGACTAAACGAAAGACTTAAATCTCACATCTTCAAGTATAATGGGACTTCTGATGTTTACGCAATGCGATCATTACCAAAGTAGATAGGAGTATGAACGAGGAGAATATCAAAGATGTTAGACGCCTTCTCAAAGAAGTAAACATTGGTATGAATCTTTATAATTACATTTAATCAAACAAAAATCAAAAGAACTTATTTATTTCATCATGCAATATACTAATTGTATATTCACTGACCGATCGGTCAACCAAAGTCACGTGATAGAGGCGCAGTAAAGTGGATTCTTATTGGAACTCTTCTTCTATAGCATCGATTTCATCCCAACTTAATTTAGAAATTCTCAATGCCGAGTAAGATTTTACCCTTTGTATTTTATCCTCACCAATATTACTGAAAAGATCGTAAATCTTCCTTGCTCTTTCTATTCTTTTCTCAATTGCGTTTTTCGAGAGGTTGGGCGGAAGCTGTTTTTCAATTTCTTTGAAAAGTTTCCTCTGAGCTCTACGCTCTTTATTAGTTCCCTTATACTCGGTTAACCTTTCTTCGAGTTTTTTTCCAAAAGTAAAGTAGCATTTAATAATTTCTTGATTTACGTTCCCAATACGTCCTTCGGCATTAAGAATTGCATTGTATAGTTCAGCAAAATTACCCGGGATCGTGGCAGATTGTGGAGCGATTTCATTCGATGAAGAACTTGGTGTCTTCAACTCCTCGATAAGCTTTATTAACATAGATGATTCTCCTTTCTTAGTTTTCGTTTTTTTACTAGAGGTATCTCCACGAGGTCTTTTTCGAGATCTTTCTTGCGTAGATGCTTGCGTTTGGGAAGTATTGTTTTCATCCTCCGATTCATATTCTATATCCATCCTTTCATTATCCTGCGAGTTTCCAGTAGAATTGACCTGGAGTTCTTTCTCCATTCTAGCAGTTACAGATGAAACACCACTCGATGTGGAATCTTGTCTAGAAAACTCTTCAAAAATTTCAACATCTTTATCACAGTTGGGGGAAGGGCACTTGTTTGGTATGGTAATTAAAAGATATTTCTCAATACAAATCCTGTGGAATACATGACCACACTCTAAGATCATGATTCCCTTAAGAGGGTTTAAAAAAATTTCATGATCACATTTTACACATTGGCTTAATTTCGGGACTTCTTTATCTTTGACAATACTATCTTCGAAATATTTCAAAATATTATATGCGAGATTTTTGAGGTTAGTAATTGACATAACGGAATTTTGAAAACAGGTAATCTTTACGGATACCTCTTCAAAATCTAGCTGTTTTTATAATATTAGTAGTTTCACGGGTTATACTATCAATACCAGCTCTGCTATTAAATTAGTAATTTCGGAGCAATATTTCTCATGAATGAGATTAATTTATTCTCTATGGGCGATCTCGGACGATTTTCCACAATATGGTATTTAACGTATGTTAATATTGATTGTTTTTAGGGTAATATTATATACAGAAAGGTTCTTTTTATGAAATATACAGAACCTATGTGACAAATAAGGATTAATTCTT